AATTTCAGAATTTTTTTTTCATACATGTCAAAGTGATGGAAAAGAAAGAATATTTTTTACATATCCACCAAATTTATCCATTTTTAAAAAAATGATGGAAACAAAATTACATATCTTTACAAGAGATAGAATTTATTATGAGGAATTATATAATTATTGGAGCTATACTAATGAAGAAAAAAGAAATAAACTGAATAATGAATTTTTAAATAGAGCAAAAGTTATAGATAAGGAATTTCTTTCTCTGGATATATTTGAAAACCGAATTAGATTATGTAATGATGAAACTAAAAAAAAATACTTAACTAAAATATACGATCCTTTCTTGAACGGACCCTTTCGTGGGCGAATTCTAAATGGTTTTTCACCTTCAATCCAACATGATAAAACTTACAAAAAAAATTATATTTTGAAAAATAAAATTTATGGTATCCTTCTTTATAATAATATTTCTAAAAATAATAATTATTCAGAATTGGAGGAAGAAATAAATACATTTGATAGAAAATCATTAGTAACTACATTTTTTTTTTGTAATGTAATCAGTCAATTTTCAAAAAAATCATTATCAAGTTTGAATTTTGAAGCACTCTATTTATTTCCAGAACACGAACAAATAAAAATGGATTCTGAAAATGAAGAAGAAAAAAAACTAATAATAAAAATATTATTCGATGCAATTAGAACAGATTTGAACAAGAAAACAATAGTTAATCAAAATATAACTAAATGGATTAGAAGAAATGAAAATGAAATCAGTAAAAAAGTTCCTAGATGGTCATACAAATTTATTGACGAATTAGAACTACTGGAGGGAAAAAGGGTAGCAGATAATTATCAAATTCGTTCTAGAAAAGCCAAACGTGTAGTAATTTTTACTAATAAATCTAAATTTTTTAAAAAAGACAATACTTATAATGATACTGGAGATACTAAAAACAAAAAAAACCAATTGGCTTTAATACGTTATTCCCAACAATCGGATTTTCGACGAGATATAATCAAAGGATCTATACGTGCTCAAAGGCGTAAAACAGTTACTTGGAAATTTTTTCAAAAAAGTGTGCATTCCCCTCTTTTTTTTGATAAAATTCAAAAACCTTTATTGTTTTCTTTTGAGAGTTTCAAATCCATGAAAATGAAAATATTTTTGATGTTAAAAAATTGGATGCGAAAAAAGACAGAATTAAAAATTTCGTATTATAGAGTGGAAAAGACAAAAGAAAGTTCGAAAAAAGAGGAAGAAAAAAAAAAAAAAGAAATTGAGCAAAAAAAACGTATAGAAATAGCAGAAGCCTGGGATAGCATTATATTTGCTCAAGTAATAAGAGGTGTTTTATTAATAACCCAATCGATTCTTAGAAAATATATTATATTACCTTCATTGATAATAATTAAAAATATTGTTCGTATACTTTTTTTTCAATTTCCCGAATGGTCAGAAGATTTTAGGGATTGGAAGAGAGAAATCTATATTAAATGTACATATAATGGCGTTCCATTATCTGAAAGAGAATTTCCCCAAAAATGGTTAACAGATGGTATTCAAATAAAAATCTTATTTCCTTTTCGTCTAAAACCTTGGCACAAATCTAAGCTACGATTCAATGAAAAGAAAAAAGATCCAATGAAAAGAAAGAACTTTTGTTTTTTAACAATTTGGGGACTTGAAGTCGAATTGCCCTTTTCTAGTTCTACAAAAAATATATTTTCATTTTTTGATCCCATTTTTAAAGAACTAAAAAAAAAAACGAAACAATTTCAATTTTCAATTTTTCTAGTTCTAAAAATTTTAAGGGAAAAATTGAAAATGTTTCAAAATATTTTAAAAGAAAAAGTAAAATGGATCATCAAAAGTATTCAATTTATAACACAAAAAATAACAAACTTTTCAAAAAATATCTTTATTAAATTGAAATTAAAAAAAATAGATGAATTAATCGAAAGCAAAAAACATTCAACAATCTATAAGAATAGTGGAAAAATTTCCGAAGCAACCATTCCAATTCAATCAAAAAATTTGGCAAATTGTTCATTGACAAAAAAAAAAATAAAGGATATGAATGCTAAAAGAAAAGCTGTTAGAAAAAAAATAGAAAAACTGAAAAAAGAAGAAAATAAAATAGGACTTGTAATTTCAGAGACAAATATTCATTCTAACAAAACAACTTATGATAGTAAAAGGCTAGAATTTGAAAAAAAAATATTACAAACAAGGGTAAATGTTCGATTAACTCGTAAATCTTATTCTTTTTTAAAACTTCTGATAAAAAGTATATACGTAGATATATTTCGATATATCATTTGTATTCCTAGGATGAATACACAACTTTTTGTTGAATCAACAAAAAAAAAATGGAAAAAATCCATTTACAATAATGAAGCAAATGTCGAAAGAACTGATAAAACAAATCAAAGTGTAATTCGCTTTATTTCGATTATACACAAATATTTCAATACTAGCAATATGAATTCACAGAATTCTTGTAATGTCTCCTTTTTGTCACAAGCATATGTATTTTTAAAATTATTACAAACCCAGATTATTAACATTAACCTATATAAATTAAAATCTGTTTTTAAATATCATGGAAATTTTTTATTTCTTAAAAACGAAATAAAGAATTCTTTTTTTGGAGTACAAGGTATATTTCATTCTAAATTAAAACAAAAGAACCCTCCCAATTCGGTAATTAATCAATGGACAAATTTGTTAAGGGATCATTATTATCAATATTACTTATCTGAAAGTATATGGTCCAGATTAGTACCACAAAAATGGAGAAAAAAAATCATTGAATGTCATGTAACTAAACATAAAGATTTAATCAAATGGGATTCATATGAAAAAAGCCGACTAATTATTTACAAAAAGCAACAAGTATACGCATTAAAAAAAAAAAAAATTAAAAAACAATATACATATGATCTTTTATCCTATAATTTTATCAATTATGCAAATAAGAAAGACTCATATATTTATGGATTTAGACCCTTTTTTCAAGCGAATAAAAACCAAGTGATTTCTTCTAATTACAACATCCATAAAAAAGAATTTTTGGATATATTGGATATAATAGGTAATATCTTTATCAAGAATTCTCTAGTGGAAGATGATATTAAAGATATGGAGAAAAATCTGGATAGAAAGTATTTCGATTGGATGGGAATCAATAGCGAAATAGTAAATCGTTCCAAATCGAATCTGGAATTTTGGTTCTTTTCAAAATTTTTGATATTTTATAATGGATATAGGAGTAATCCATGGGTTATACCAATCAAATTACTTTTTTTTAACTTTAATGTAAATAAAAATAACATTACTAGAAACAAAAAAATAATGGATATTTTTAGACCATCGAAAAAAAAAAAATCCCTTGAATTGGAATTAGAGACTCGAAATCGAGTACAAGCAAAATACGCCGATCGAATAAATCTTGAATTATCTCTCTCAAATCAAGCAAAAGATATTGAAAAATATTATCTAGGATTGGGCAGTGAAAAGAATGGTAAGGGTATAAATAAAAAGAAAGACAAGATCGAGGCAGAACTTAATTTTTTACGAAGAAATTTTTTAACTTTACATTTTAACTGGAAAAATTTCTTAGGTAAAAGAATATTTAAAAATGTCCAAGTATATTGTCTCCTGATTCGATTGAAAAATTTAAGAGAAATTACTATAGCTTCTATTCAAAGAGGAGAACTTGGTCTAGATATTATGATGATTCAAAATCAGAAGAATTTAACTCTTCCAGACCTAAGGAAAAATAAAAAATTTATTAAAAAAGAAATATTTGTTATCGAACCAGTTCGTCTGTCTAGAAAAAACAATAAAGAATTTTTTATGTATCAAACTTTTGGTCTTTCATTAATTCATAAGAATAAACGCAAAAATTCTAAAAAATACTCAGAAAAAAGTCCTGTTAATAATAAAAATTTGGATAAATACATTACAAGAACAAGAGATCAAAAGATAAGAGAAACAAAAGAAAAAAAAAATTATGATTTACTTGTTCCTGAAACTATTTTATCCGCTAGACGTCGTCGAGAATTGAGAATTCTAAATTGTTTAAATCCTAGTAATATAAATAGTATGCATAGAAACACTATAGTTTATAATGAAAATAAAGTCCCTAATTGTTTTATAATTTTGACTAAAAAAAGAAAATATTGGGAGAAAGAGCAAAAAAAAATAATGAATTTAAAAATATTTCTTTGGCCAAATTATCGATTCGAAGATTTAGCTTGTATAAATCGCTATTGGTTTAATACCCATAATGGAAGCCGTTTCAGTATAGTAAGGATACATATGTATCCACAATTGAAAATTCGTTAATAGAAATTAGTCTTCTATTTACTTATCGTAATATAGAAGACTAATTTCTATATACATAACATAAATACAGACACGCATTATACCATTGATACAAATTCAATGATATATCCGTTAGATCCAAAATAAAAAAGAATTTTTTAAATCCTCTTTTTTTTTTTTTTTTTTAGAAGTATCCAATTTTTTGTGGTGAATCCATAAAAAAAGTTTCTTTTATATCTATTAATTAATATTGGATTTTTAAAATTTATAAGAATTAATTCGATTGTAAAAAAATAAAAAAATAAAAAATTCTAAATTCAGATTTATATAAAAAAAATGAAAAAATGAGTATCCATTATTATTACTGATCAATAAATATATATATATAAAGCGAGGAGGGGGTAAAAACTTTCATTTTTTTATGGTAAAAAATTCATTTATACCTGTTATTTCACAAGAAAAAAAAGAAGAAAACCCGGGATCGGTTGAATTTCAAGTATTCCATTTTACCAATAGAATACGAAGACTTACTTCACATTTTGAATTGCATCGAAAAGACTATTTGTCTCAAAGGGGTTTACGTAAAATTCTGGGAAAACGGAAACGATTATTGTCTTATTTGTCAAAGAAAGATGGAATACGTTATAAAAAATTAATAAATCAATTTGATATTCGGGAGTCACGAATTCGTTAAATTGAAGAGTAATTCTTAATTATTCGATTTATTAGATCTTGAATTTTGATGAACTTTTTTTAAGCGATTCATAGAAGAATAAATCGAGGAAAAACCTATGAATATCTCAACTACAAGAAAGGACTTCATGATAGTAAATATGGGCCCTCATCACCCATCAATGCATGGTGTTCTTAGACTTATTGTTACTCTAGATGGTGAGGATGTTATTGCTTGTGAACCAATATTGGGTTACTTACACAGAGGAATGGAAAAAATAGCGGAAAATCGAACAATTATACAATATCTGCCTTATGTAACACGTTGGGATTATTTAGCTACTATGTTCACAGAAGCAATAACTGTAAACGGACCAGAACAGTTGGGAAATATTCAAGTACCTAAAAGAGCTAGCTATATCCGAGTAATTATGTTGGAGTTGAGTCGTATAGCTTCTCACCTACTCTGGCTAGGACCTTTTATGGCAGATATTGGTGCACAAACCCCTTTCTTCTATATTTTCAGAGAAAGAGAATTAATATATGATCTATTCGAAGCTGCGACGGGTATGAGAATGATGCATAATTTTTTTCGTATCGGGGGGGTAGCGACTGATCTACCTTATGGTTGGGTGGATAAATGTTATGATTTCTGCGATTATTTTTTAACAAGGATTGTTGAATATCAAAAACTTATTACACGAAATCCTATTTTTTTAGAACGGGTTGAGGGGATAGGTGTTATTGATGGAAAGGAAGTAATAAATTGGGGTTTGTCGGGACCGATGCTTCGAGCTTCTGGAATACAATGGGATCTGCGTAAAGTTGATAATTATGAATGTTACGAAGAATTTGCTTGGGAAGTTCAATGGCAAAAAGAAGGAGATTCATTAGCTCGTTATTTGGTTCGAATTGGTGAAATGATAGAATCCATAAAAATTATTCAACAGGCTTTGGAAGGAATTCCCGGCGGGCCGTATGAAAATTTAGAAATCCGCAGCTTTGATAGAGAAAAAGAGCCAGAATGGAATGATTTTGAGTATCGATTTATTAGTAAAAAACCGTCTCCGACTTTTGAATTACCAAAACAAGAACTTTATGTAAGAATTGAGGCCCCAAAGGGAGAATTAGGAATTTTTCTAATAGGAGATCAAAATGGTTTTCCTTGGAGATGGAAAATTCGTCCACCGGGGTTTATCAATTTGCAAATTCTTCCTCAATTAGTTAAAAGAATGAAATTGGCCGATATTATGACAATACTAGGTAGTATAGATATTATTATGGGAGAAGTTGATCGTTGAAATGATAATTGATATAAGAGAAATACAAGATATCCATTTTTTTTTCAGATTGGAATCTTTTAAAGAGGTATATAGAATTATATGGGTATTTGCCCCTATTTTTATTCTTGTATTGGGAATTACAATAAGTGTACTAGCTATTGTATGGTTAGAAAGAGAAATATCCGCAGGGATACAACAGCGTATTGGACCTGAATACACAGGTCCTTTTGGGGTTCTTCAAGCTTTAGCAGACGGAACAAAATTACTTTTCAAAGAGAATCTTATTCCATCTAGAGGAGATATTCGTTTATTCAGTATAGGACCATCCATATCAGTCATATCCATTATAATAAGCTATTCAGTAATTCCTTTTGGCTATAACTTTGTTTTATCTGATCTGAGTATTGGTGTTTTTTTATGGATTGCTATTTCGAGCATTGCTCCCATTGGACTTCTTATGTCAGGATATGGGTCAAATAATAAATATTCCTTTTTAGGTGGTCTACGAGCGGCTGCTCAATCGATTAGTTATGAAATACCATTAACTCTATGTGTGTTATCGATATCTCTACGTGCGATTCGTTGAGACAGAAAATTTGGATACTATTTGCTATACTCCTCTCTTTATAATACTTTGTAGTAAAGGAAGATAATAAATGGAATATATTCCATTTATTATTTTTCGTTTCGCAATTGGGATTGAAGAATTTAATCAGATAGTTATATGAGTGCAATAAAACAGCTTCTATTGAATATAATTTTTAGAATATTAAAAGAATTCTAGTTAATAGAAAGTATGATGATTTAAAATAAATTGCAGTAAAATTATTGAGTCTCATTTTCTATGTATAAGAATTAAGTGAAAAAAACTGAATTTAATAAAAATTATAAGTAGAAATGGTTGTTTCTCCCAAGGTTGGTTGATTAGTCATCCTGTCTTGAAGCGGGCGCAAAAGACCAAACTTTTTTTTTTTCAATATTATTTGATCTTCAATATCATTTGTATGAATTATCATACATATATTAACAATAAGGAATTAATAAAAAAAATGAATGGATGGTTAGAAACACCAAGATACACAAAGGATTAGTAACGTATATTTTTAAAAATCTCCAAAAGAACATTTATGTTTTATGTATAATATAAAAAGAATACTAATAGGGGCTTTAAATTGGTAGAAAAAATAAGGCAGTACTCCCCCCAATTCCGATCCAGAGTATACTTTCATCCAATGATTAAACAAATAACTTTCAGGAACGAAATAATCCTTTAACTTTTTGAAGTCCCTTTTTTTCCTTGCACAACAAAGAATAGGATAAGAATAAAAAAAAAGTGATCCCCCCTTTTTTTTGTCTTATATCCATAAATATAGATATAGAATTCATGTAATAATTTAGAAAACTAAGATGTAATTCTTTTTCTTAATCGAAAATGATGAGAGAGTTTTTGATAATTCTAAAAGAGTATTTTATGGAAGAATAAAGCTATTACTCAACCTATTTGAATTTTGGTTTTTTATTTAAAGGATGAGACAAATTCAGAAGTACTTTTTGTATTTATTTTTAAATATTTTATTAGAGCAGACAGAATTCAATTAGTTTAATTTAGAACCGTCCGATAAAATGGAATCTTATCTATCTTAGAGATATATCAATGGATAAATAATCGGCCCGGTCCTTAGATTTTTTAAAGCTTTAAAGGAGCCGTATGAGGTGAAAATCTCATGTACGGTTCTGTAATAGAGGTGGTAACAGTAATGTTATCACCGACTAGTATTATCTAACAGTTTAAGTACAGTTGATATAGTTGATGCGCAATCAAAATATGGTTTTTGGGGATGGAATTTGTGGCGTCAACCTATGGGTTTCGTCGTTTTTCTAATTTCTTCTCTAGCAGAATGTGAAAGATTACCTTTTGATTTACCGGAAGCGGAAGAAGAATTAGTAGCGGGTTACCAAACCGAATATTCGGGTATCAAATTTGGTTTATTTTACATTGCTTCCTATTTAAACCTATTAATTTCTTCCTTATTTGTAACAGTTCTTTACTTGGGTGGTTCGAATTTTTCTATTCCGTACATATTCGTTTCTGATTTTTTTGAAATAAATAAAGCATATGGAGTTTTTGTAACGATAATTGGTATCTTTATTACACTAACTAAAACTTATTTATTATTATTCGTTTCTATCACAACAAGATGGACTTTGCCTAGGCTAAGAATAGACCAATTATTAAATCTTGGGTGGAAGTTTCTTTTACCCATTTCGCTCGGTAATCTATTATTAACAACTTCGTCTGAACTGTTTTCACTATAAAAAATGTCGACTTTGTATATTCATAATTTGTCTCAAACAATAGAAAGAAAAAAATATTCAGAGATATTCAAGATATGCTCTTTATGGTAACTGGATTCATAAATTATGGTCAACAAACAGTCCGAGCTACAAGGTACATTGGTCAAAGTTTCATGATTACCCTATCTCACGCAAATAGGTTACCTGTAACTATTCAATATCCTTATGAAAAAATAATCTCATCAGAACGTTTCCGTGGTCGAATACATTTTGAATTTGATAAATGCATTGCTTGTGAAGTATGTGTTCGTGTATGTCCCATAGATCTACCCGTTGTTGATTGGAAACTTGAAACTGATATTCGAAAGAAACGCTTGCTTAATTACAATATTGATTTCGGAATATGTATATTTTGTGGTAACTGTATTGAATATTGTCCAACAAATTGTTTATCAATGACTGAAGAATATGAACTTTCGACTTATGATCGCCACGAATTGAATTATAATCAAATTGCTTTGGGCCGTTTACCAGTATCAGTAATTGATGATTATACAATTAGAACAATTCAAATAAAATAAAATTAGTTAGAATTCAAAAAAAATTATTCTAAAAAGTAAAATCATAAAATATATATCAAATGATTATATATATATATATATACTTTCATTTTCATATAGTTTGAAATTACTCTTTCACATAAAGAAAAGAATAGAATGACATTGAACCTAGAACAACTGTACTTCTAGAAATTCACATTTATTATCTTAGGATTTGGTTGAATTCAATACGGCGATAATTTTAAGTATTTAATATATAAGCTTTTCCTGGTCATATCAATAAGGTCATGAAATTTCGATTTATTTTATCTCTTATTTTTCATATAATGGATTTGCCCGAACCGCTACATGATTTTCTTTTAGTCTTTCTTGGATCGGGTCTTATATTAGGAAGTCTAGGAGTAGTTTTATTTACGAATCCAATTTTTTCTGCTTTTTCGTTGGGACTTGTTCTTGTTTGTATATCTTTATTCTATATTTTATCAAACTCCCATTTTGTAGCTGCATCACAGCTACTTATTTACGTGGGCGCTATAAATGTTTTAATAATATTTGCTGTGATGTTCATGAATGGTTCAGAATATTATCAAGATTTTCGTCCTTGGACCATTGGGGATGGAATTACTTTGATGGTTTGTACAAGTATTTTTGTTTCACTAATAATTACTATTCTAGATACATCATGGCACGGGATTATTTTGACTACAAAACCAAATCAGATTATAGAGCAAGATTTGATAAGTATTAGTCAACAAATTGGAATTCATTTATCAACAGATTTTTTTCTTCCATTTGAACTTATTTCCATAATTCTTTTAGTTGCTTTAATAGGTGCAATTGTCGTGGCTCGCCAATAATAAATTTTGAGAACTAATAATAGAAATCCAAATTTAATTTTGTTAGATTTTATCACATTGATTTTCGTTGAATTTTATGTAAACGTAAAATAGTATTTATGTAGAAAATCTTTTTTTTATTGTCAATACATTATTTTGTTATAGACTTTTTATATTCTTTAGTCAATAAATTCTTGTTCATATTGAAATGAATCAAAATTGATAAGGAGTTGGTCAATGATATTCGAGCATTCACTTGTTTTGAGTGCCTTTTTATTTTCTATAGGCATCCTTGGGTTGATCACGAGCCGAAATATGGTTAGAGCCCTTATGTGTCTTGAACTTATACTGAATGCAGTTAATATAAATCTCGTAACCTTTTCTGATTTTTTTGATAGTCGACAATTAAAAGGAAATATTTTTTCAATTTTTGTTATAGCTGTTGCAGCCGCTGAAGCAGCTATCGGACCGGCTATTGTTTCCTCAATTTACCGGAATAGAAAATCAACCCGTATCAATCAATCGAATTTGTTGAATAAATAGTATTACTCATAAAAGATAAAAAAAAGTATAATTTAGAAAAGTGTGTACTATTAATCAATTCAAATTAGCATATATGATATATAACTTATGATCATGTTTGTGAAAACAAACATAAGAAATCAAAGTATCTTGGTTGTATTCTCTTTTTATTAATTAATTGATAAGTCGATTTTGATTAGCAAAATTCTGAAAAATCATTGATTCATCTGGTGTCTAATATATCTATCTAGATAGATATATTAAATTCGTTTACAAGTTTACTAGATTGAAAATGTTGAATTTTTTATGTTCAAGGATTACGATCCAATGTCACATTCAGTAAAGATTTATGATACATGTATAGGATGTACTCAATGTGTCCGAGCCTGCCCCACAGATGTATTAGAAATGATACCTTGGGACGGATGTAAAGCTAAACAAATTGCTTCTGCCCCAAGAACAGAGGATTGTGTTGGTTGTAAGAGGTGTGAATCCGCTTGTCCGACGGATTTCTTAAGTGTTAGAGTTTATTTATGGCATGAAACAACGCGAAGCATGGGTCTAGCTTATTGATACGTCTCAAAAAGAACCACACACAAGTACGTTTTTTTACCGGCAAAAACCCGCGCTCAAAAAAAAAGAAATTCTTTTTTTTGAGCGCGGGTTTTTCTAGTCTAAGTATATTTTATTTTTATCACGAATTATTTTCCTTGGTTAACAATAGTTGTAGTTTTGCCAATAATCGGGGGTTCCTTAATTTTCTTATTTCCTCATAAAGGAAATAAGGTAATTAAGTGGTATACTATTTGTATATGTTTAATCGATCTCCTTCTAATAGCCTATGCATTTTGTTATCATTTCGAATTGGATGATCCATTAATCCAATTGACAGAAAATTATAAATGGATCCATTTTTTTGACTTTTACTGGAGATTAGGAATAGATGGACTTTCTATAGGACCTGTTTTATTGACGGGATTTATCACTACTTTAGCTACGTTAGCGGCTCAGCCAGTTACTCGAGAATCAAAATTATTCTATTTCCTAATGTTAGCAATGTATAGTGGTCAAATAGGAACATTTTCTTCTCAAGACATTTTACTTTTTTTCATCATGTGGGAATTAGAATTAATTCCCGTTTATCTACTTTTATCTATGTGGGGTGGCAAAAAACGTTTGTATTCCGCTACAAAGTTTATTTTGTACACTGCAGGAAGTTCCGTTTTTTTATTACTAGGAATTCTGGGTATTAGTTTATATGGTTATAATGAACCAACATTAAATTTGGAATCATTAACTAATCAATCTTATCCCGTGGCGCTGGAAATAATATTGTATATAGGATTTCTTATTGCTTTTGCTGTCAAATTACCAATTATACCCTTACATACATGGTTACCAGATACCCATGGAGAGGCACATTACAGCACTTGTATGCTTTTAGCCGGAATATTATTAAAAATGGGAGCCTATGGGTTGATTCGAATTAATATGGAATTATTATCTCGCGCTCATTCTATATTTTGTCCCTGGTTAATGCTATTAGGTTCAATTCAAATAATCTATGCAGCTTCATCATCTCTTGGTCAACGTAATTTAAAAAAAAGAATAGCTTATTCTTCGGTATCGCATATGGGTTTCTTAATTTTAGGAATTGGTTCTATAAACGATACAGGTCTCAACGGGGCTATTTTACAAATAATCTCTCATGGATTTATTGGCGCTGCGCTTTTTTTCTTGGCGGGAACTAGTTATGATAGACTACGTCTTCTTTATCTCGACGAAATGGGTGGAATGGCTATCCCAATGCCAAAAATATTCACGGTTTTTACTATCTTATCGATGGCTTCTCTTGCATTGCCGGGCATGAGCGGTTTTGTTGCAGAATTGATAGTATTATTGGGAATAATTACCAGCCAAAAATATCTTTTAATCACAAAAATACTAATAACTTTTGTAACAGCAATTGGAATGATATTAACTCCTATTTATTCATTGTCTCTCTTACGTCAAATGTTCTATGGATACAAGCTTTTTAATACACCAAATTCTTCTTTTTTTGATTCAGGACCAAGAGAATTATTTATTTCAATTTCTCTCCTTATACCCGTAATAAGTATTGGTATTTATCCAGATTTTCTTTTTTCATTTTCGTCTGACAAGGTTGAAGCTATTCTATCTAATTTTTTATAGATAGTTTTTTTAAATAAATGAAAAAAGAAAATCAAAAATAGAAACAAATCCTATGTACAATAATAAAAAAATAAATTTATTTTTTTATTAAATTAATTCAAAATTTGAATTATAATGGAATATCTTTGTTGTTTGCGAGAACCCCTTGAATCACTACTACATTACTTGATTTAAAGGGTTCTCTATTATTGAAAGTTTTATGTATTTGTAGAGTTCTTTACTCACTTTAATTCAATTAGGTGTAAATGAACCATAACTATGTAGTCCTATTCCTAAAAGATTTATTCCTAAATAACATACCCAAATTATAAGAAAGCCCATAGAGGCTACTATTGAAGAATTTATATCTTCCAATTTTTTATTTTTTCTAGTATGTAAATAAATCGCGAATATAGTCCAAGTAATAAAAGCCCAAGTTTCTTTTGGATCCCAATTCCAATATGATCCCCATGCCTCATTAGCCCATACTGCTCCTGAAATAATACCTATCGTTAAAAAGATAAAACCTAGACTAATAGTACGGTAACCCCAATGATCCAATTGTTGAATAAATTGAGATCTAAAATAATTTCTATAAGACGAAAAAAAACTTTTTTTAAAAACATTCTTTTTTTCACTCATATTTATGTATTTGATTACAGCAAAAGAAAATGATTCATTTAAAAAATACAAATTCTTGGTAAAAGCAAGAATTTTTATGAGTTCTTGAAATATAATGACTAAAATAGCTACTGATAATAATGATCCACATAAAAGAGTTGCATAACCCAATATCATCATACTTACATGCATCATTAACCAATGAGACTGTAAAGCAGGTACTAATATTAAGGATTCATGCATTTCGGTTAAAAGACCCGAAGTAGCAAAGCCTTGGGTAAAAATAACACTTGGTGTGATTATTGTATTTAAATAGTAGTTTTTATGTTTTTTAAAGTAAGGAACTATATCAAAAATGGAAAAAGTCCATGAAAGAAATATTAATGATTCATATAAATCACTAAATGGTAAATGGCCCGAAAAAAACCAACGAGTAAATAACAATCCCGTTATACAAAAAAAAGTTATTATTATGCCTTTTTTGGACAAATCAGATAATCCTATGATTTCATTGAATAATAATAAGGTTATCAAATGAATTGAAATTAAAATGGATACGACTGAAAACGATATATGAGTTAATATATGCTCTAAAGTTGAAAATACCATATATAATTATAATGAAAAAATCGAAATACTAGGAATAGAAATAAGAATTGAGTTCATTATAGGACCCATTTTTTTAGAAGATAAGATGTCATGCCGCTACTCGGACTCGAACCGAGATGCTCTAGCACTGCTTCCTAAGAGCAGCGTGTCTACCAATTTCACCATAGCGGCCTACTCGAAATCATAATAACCCTTTTTTAATCCATTGTCGAGATTCAAAGAATCCATTAAAATACAATATACAATACTTGTTTACTAAACATTAAATCAAAAATTTTTAAGAATTTTCTTGGAATCAATTAGAAATCTATCTATATCTATCTCTATAGATAGATATAGATAGATAAAATATGTAAATATCCTAAATGAATATTATACTATATTAGATATTTAATTTATATTACTATTAGTACTTTTTTACTTAATAATATTCGTTGAATCAAGTTAATTTAAATTATTCTAACGTTTGTATTTGTTACAAAAAAAGCTTTTTGAATTCCCCGTAAAAATAGATTGCGCTAATGAAAAAGCTTTCAATGTTGTCCAATATCCTTTCTTTTTCCATAAAGTGTTACGAATAATTTTTTTTGATATAGAAGTGCGCTTTTTTGGAACTGCCATAGAATTTTTATAGTTTTTCATTGTTCTAAAGTTCGATGTGAAAGACATTTTTCTAAAAATAAAAATCAATTTATCTTTAATTAACCATATATCTTTTCTATCTTAATTCACATTTTTTTTGTTTCCTTTTTTTTTTTAAGTAAAACACTGAATATTAAAATCCTTTTTCTTTTTTAAATTTTTGATATTTTTATATTGTAATAGAAAATTTTAATAGAAAATCTTAAATTAGTTAAAAAAAAATGGATTGAGTCGTGTCATATGAATAAAAAAAAGTTGATTTTCACTAATAATTTAGGTATTGGTGCATTTTAAGTTTATACTTTGTAATATTTTTTAAATATTGTGCAAAGATTGAGAATAATTAATAATAGATGATTCTATTTTAATTCTATGTTTACTTTTTTATTAACCGAACCTTTCTTTACAAAAAAGATAAAATAAAAACTGACGAATAAGAAACAAAATTCATTGGA